GTAGAAATAGTAAAATGACAAAATAAACAGGAAGAGTGGGTATGAAAATATGGTAGTGTAAACAGGGATTAAGAAAACTTAAAATAACATGAATAAACAGGAAGTTTAGATAAGAAAGGCGATGAGATTGTCATTACTAAAAAAATTTTACCTGTTTATGATGGCCATGGTAGGGAGAGGGGTTGGACGTAATTCTTTTGGATACAAAGTGTGGGTTTGAGCTTTTGGATAGCTAGCGCCTCAGCTATGCCCAGATGTCTTGATTTGACTCCCTTTGATAGGTTTGATTGAATTTTGTATATTACTTTGAAGGATTTTTCGAAAGGCGCTGAATGTCCTGAGTTGACCAGATGTTCTGTCACTGAACTGTATACACTTTTTCGGTCTCCTTTTACTAGCCAGGCTGGGTAGTGTTCGCGAGCGCGTTTTCCAAGTCGGCGCATGGTACGGCCGATGTACTCAGCTCCACAAGAGCAAGTAATCTGGTATATGCACGTTGAGGTGGCCCAATGCGACGGCTTGTTTTCACGTTCTGGCTGAACAGTTTCTTGCAAGAAAACGTCAGTCGTAGGCTCGCGGCCAAATATGTTTTCCTTAGAGATTCACCAACATTCCATTGACAGAAACCGTTTGTTTCCTTTGCGACTACATTCAATCCAGTAGCATCGATGTTGGTATACCGATCCATTACCTAAAAGAACTGTTACTACGATGCACCTTCAGCGTATACTTTAGTTTCAACAAGGAAATATACAGGCAAGTAGATGGGGTAGCAATGGATTCTCCCTTAGGACCCCTATTAGCCGACTGCTTTTTGGCTAGCTTAGAAAACAACCCCTTATCATCAGCTATCAACGACCTCCATCTCTACAAGAGCTACATCGATGATACTTTCATTATTTGTGATGAGAATTGTGATTTAAAAAACCTACTTCAAATCTTCAATTACGCCCACCCAAACATCGACTTCACACTTGAGACTAAATCCAACGGAATGTTCCACTTCCTCGACGTCCAGCTGACAAGAAACGCCAACAACTCTCTGAAAAGATCCATATACAAAAGCCTACTTGGAATGGACAATTCATCAACCCCATCTACTTGCCTGTATATTTCCTTGTTGAAACTAAAGTATACGCTGAAGGTGCATCGTAGTAACAGTTCTTTTAGGTAATGGATCGGTATACCAACATCGATGCTACTGGATTGAATGTAGTCGCAAAGGAAACAAACGGTTTCTGTCAATGGAATGTTGGTGAATCTCTAAGGAAAACATATTTGGCCGCGAGCCTACGACTGACGTTTTCTTGCAAGAAACTGTTCAGCCAGAACGTGAAAACAAGCCGTCGCATTGGGCCACCTCAACGTGCATATACCAGATTACTTGCTCTTGTGGAGCTGAGTACATCGGCCGTACCATGCGCCGACTTGGAAAACGCGCTCGCGAACACTACCCAGCCTGGCTAGTAAAAGGAGACCGAAAAAGTGTATACAGTTCAGTGACAGAACATCTGGTCAACTCAGGACATTCAGCGCCTTTCGAAAAATCCTTCAAAGTAATATACAAAATTCAATCAAACCTATCAAAGGGAGTCAAATCAAGACATCTGGGCATAGCTGAGGCGCTAGCTATCCAAAAGCTCAAACCCACACTTTGTATCCAAAAGAATTACGTCCAACCCCTCTCCCTACCATGGCCATCATAAACAGGTAAAATTTTTTTAGTAATGACAATCTCATCGCCTTTCTTATCTAAACTTCCTGTTTATTCATGTTATTTTAAGTTTTCTTAATCCCTGTTTACACTACCATATTTTCATACCCACTCTTCCTGTTTATTTTGTCATTTTACTATTTCTACATATTTAATCCCTGATTGCATAAACAATTATTCATCATATTAGTTTTTTATCCAAACATCCTGTATATTTTGTTATTTCTACATTTCTAACCCCCAATTGCACAATGTCAATCTTCTTTGTTATTATAATGCTACTTTGTTCGAGTTTTATCCGTCCCCCTGTTTATTTTGGCATTTGAATTCCTAATTGTAATTTTTTATTAATTTGACCCTTAACCGGAAATTATTCTGGAACTTTCCCATCCATTTGATATAAATACACGAGTGTACAGCCTAGATGATGACTTCGTCGAAAAGAAAATTTTCTTCGCTGCAATTGCCTTTTAATAACTCATATACTGAATTTTAAGTCCCCTCATCTCGAAATATATTGCTCCATCACTAGTTAATATCCTTCGTGAGTAATATGAATAATAATGGGGCTGATTGGAATTCAACTAAAATCTGAACTAGAGTCAAGTTAACAACAGTGGTAATAAGAGATAGAAATGTAATAGAGGATGGAGGAAGAAAATAATTCAGTTAAGAGACAAAAAACATTAATTACATATTTGGTGTTAATATATATCATATCCATTGTAGATTTAATGACAACAAACTTCAGATTCAACGCCACAACTTTACATGGTTTGTATTCTAAAATTTACAATACTAATGACACGTCCTGGAAAATATTTTTTTGTTTCTAAGAAAATTAACTACATATACGCGATTGTACAGTTTGAGAATGATATCGCCGAAAAGAGTACCTCTTCCTTAACACAGCCATGATCCCAAAGGTTTCCAATGCTATTCTGACTGATGCCAGTAGGTGACCTAATTTGGAAAGAACTTTGATCAGAGTAACTAAATGCTAACAATGGATTTCTTTTAAACGAGTGAGTTAGTTCTCAAATAATCAATCGAGACAGCCTCAGTGAACTGAAGAAGGTTAAGGCTGTTTTGTTTTGCTGGTCATTCCAAGGGATTCTTAGCATCCACTCAGTGTCTTTTGTACATCAAATGCTGGAGACTGAAGTGCTTAAGACGCACAACCTCACTAACCTAAGGTTATTTCAAAATTTTGAGGTAAGTCCTTCTCCCTGTTCTAACAATGTAACTGCTGCTGATGATACACGTGCACCGATTTACATACCTAGAATTGAAATTTCAAGGAAGACGTTAAGAATGGAATAAATCTGTCCACCAGTATATATGTATACTGACTAATTTGCTGTAAAGCAGGACAGAGCATAGATCTTATTTCTGGTGAATAAAAAACACAACCTTTTGAATTTGTAGTCCATCAGTATTGAAATTAGGTAAAATACGATCAATATTTTAGTGAACCAAAGTGTGTTTCAAAAATCTAAACATCATTATACTAGCCAGCTTCTTTCGCATGACCAGTGAGCCAGTTACTGATCACCTGAATTCAAAGTGTTCCTTTTTCAAAGCGTAATAACTACACTGATTAATTTTTTATTCAATCTGGATTTCCTTGTTGATTGATTGAACCGAGGTGTTCAGATTCTGTTGACACCTACGCTCCTTGTGTGGATGCTTCACCGATGTCTGAGGATTTAACCTGAAGTAAGTCAGCAGATGGTAGATAGCAGTAGAATCCGGGATGCGCACTTTGTCCTGTTATGGACTCGTCAGCTTGATGTACCTGCATTCCACATTTAGTGATGGTGTTCCCAATAAGGCTGAAACCCAGTAAACATTGTTTCAAACGCCACAACGTTATCCATCAAACCACATGGGCCAAGAGTGGATGACGTTTTGTAGTTTGAAAGGATGGTTACTGGCTTTGAGCCTAATTGCGAACACCACCACCCAATAGGGGATGCGGGCACATCCATCTGAGGAGTCCTAAATAGGATGAAATGGGCGTTGTGGACTACTCTACTGGTCACCATCCACCAAATTACATTAAATTGATTGATGTTCACAGCTAAAGTATATTTTAAGACAAGAAAACAAACATCTGGTTACATCGGAATTGAAGATATCAAAAGGAAGATTATGCGTTTAGATTATTCCTATTGGAAACTAGTAGTGTTTGCTAACCAGATCAGACACCGGAATATTACTTCTGTTGTCTGAGGCTAAACTCATCCAGGAATCACCGAGATTCAGTCAACTCAGTCGTCCACATCGTGCTGTAAACAGCATTATCTGTAAGACAAGATTAAAGCATTTATTTGTGGGCTTCTGTAGAAGCAAAATATAAGCACAAGTTGGGCATCTACAAAATATACTCGCGTATTTTTGTTCATCAAAAAAGTATTTAGGGAAGCATTTATTGATAATTTAAATCAAAATACTTATTTTTGGTACCATACACTTATGCTGAAATTAGTTGTAACCTCAAGTGTCTGTTTGCATGGTTCGATATCGGGTAGAGTCATGGGTGCGTACTCCGGAATAAGGCGCGCTATAACTGAGCAACTCATCAGCACTTATCACAACATCTCAAATAGCTCAACACTCAGAGTCATTTACCACAAAAAGCAGAAATCGACAGAAAACAGCATGTTTCCGACTTCTTTATACTACAGTATCCCTAGGCTTATGAATCGACAAACTGTAGCTATGTGGTCCAAGGAAGCCAGTCCCATCTCTGTGTCCCCAAATATATCCAGTATGTTTTAGTAACTTTTTCCATCAATAGTTATAAAAGATATTACTCCAAATTGTTTCTATGCGGATCCTGTTCACACCTGTCTTCGGTAAAAAAAGAACTACTTTACGTATCAGGCAACTGTATGGCTAACACTGTTTTGTTTTGCAACATCCTTGCCTCTTGTGATTTATGTTCATCTGCCATCACATCTGAGAACTTTCATAGCGAGTCGAAAATTACTGTCCTCTTTAAGTCTCATCTTCGTCACTATGTCGAATTAAATAATTATTGTAAATATGCATATTAATATATATATATATATATATATATATATATATATATATATATATTTGAGAACGTCAGCATTACTCTCCCTCACTTCCCAATTAAAGGATATTTTAAAAAAGGGAATTGCTTCATCACTCATATATTTTAACTCCTACTTGGGAGTAGCCAATCAGATGTTAGTGTAGGTGGTTGCAAATTATTATAAATTATCGTAATATTTATTGTCTTTTTATTATGATTTCAGAAATTATAAACCGGTTATGTTGTCCATTTCAAGACTTGGTGAGTAATACTCGGTACAGATTTATTATTTTTTTTACAAATTAAATTTGCATATTTTTGAATGGATTAATTTTATTTTGGAAACAGATCAGTTTTATGTAATGCTAAGGAACTACGTATACACATGTATATTTCAAGTTATTCATCATGAAACTGTAGCAGTAAGTTACAGTGTGGTGAATCGCTTGTTCTGCGCACTTTATTGATTAACTTTAGAAATTCAGTACATAGTACTACACATAGCTATCCTGATGTTGCACAAGTTTTCATTCAACCAATAATAAGAGGCCAAGAGGCATTTGTGCATTACAGTAGAAATTTCTCAGAAAAATATAAGCTGTAGTATTTTAAGTTATTCTTACACTACAATGTAATACGTAAGTAATCGTTAACCAAGAAAATAAACTGCACAACTACAACTACAACACTAACCATTCAAAGCGGGAGTAGATTCACCCCTGTAACATACTGGCTAATCATCAAGTGCCTACTTCATCCAGCCATTTTTCACTTTAAGTGTACAGTTTCGTTAAAAAAAATGCACTACAGTTTCGAGATGTATAGAAAACGTTTCTCCTCTCAATTTTTCCACACTTAAAGTTGACAGCTGAAAATACAAGATGACAGTGTGTGAAAGCTGTAATTCAAAATATTTAATTATAGCATAGAACTTCACTTCTTATTGGATCAGATTTACCTGCGGTACAGGACATGACCAAAGAATAGATACCACAGCAAAATGACCTTACGCCAACCAATCAGATCTTTCAGTATAACAAATGAGCGCTTTTCATAATCTCCAATGCTAGTTTCATTCTGATTCAAGGTTAGAGTTCTGGTTAACGTTAGGGTGGAACTTGAAACGAAGATTATGGACAGCTTCCACTTAAAATGATGACTGACAAAGTCATCATCATTAGGTTACATTGATAATAAAGTCAACCATTCTTCAGAATTAGTGGATTCTTTAACTGGTACTCATACAAATTCTGCTGAAGGCTTTTTGGTATGGCAGAATGGTGTATTCTATAACCACCCCTGTGAAAAAGTGAGATCTGTTTTTTTCAGCATATAAGAGACATTTACCTCATATAATTCATTATTATTATTGTATATACATATATAAATGTATATATATGTACATATCTTGTAAATATGCCTTTTTATCATATAAATGCCACTTTTTACCTAGAAGAATGTGATAACTTGGTTGAAGGTCATTTGGCTGTAGTATCTATTCCTCACTGTTGCGTGGTACAGTAGTAAATCTTTAGCTCTTACAGTTTCCTGGCATTGTCATGAAAATAGTGATGTAAATATTTCTGATTTTTTGAAGGGAGAATGGACTAGTGGTGTATTTCCCGAGGGTGATTGTTTTGTCTTGCCACTTATAGCTGCTGACACTGACTGATCATTCAATTGGGTCTGTTTAAACACATGATAATAATATCATGATAGTTTTAACATTACCTAGAAACCGAATCACTTTTAGCATTTTTCGCAAAATTTTGTTTGTCTTCAGTCTTAGACAGAGACTTATAACACAGAAGACATTTTTAATCTGACCACTGTGTTTCAATGTAATTATTCGTATTCAGTAAAGCTGTCATGCAGTGTGGATTATTCCATTAGATGATTTTGTGAACAGTGCATCAGCAATGCATGATGTCTATATTGGATACTCAGACAATTTAACCCTCAAGCTCCCCTGATTTAACAGTCAGTAGTAATCCCAGAAAAAAAAGGGAAGATGGGGCTTGAGTGTAACAACCACATCGTGGAAATATAACACAGACGCTACTGGAACTTCTAATAGCTTGAAGTTCTATTTTGTATTTGGAACTTTAAGAAATGAAAAAGAGAGTAGAAACACTATAAGGTTTCTGGGAAGGTCGATATATATTCACTTGAGAAAATTTGTCATCATTGGGTACAACTAATCTACTGTCTGATGATATAAATATTTATGTGCTTTTGATATTAACCTAAAGTTGACTGTTTATTTATGAGTATCATAACAGTCATTAAGTAATGAGCAAATAGACACAGACGACTACAACTGTTCGACTGTTTAAGAATTAACTGGTTTAAGAACTGGTCTTATCACAAACGTGATGTTGACACATACAGCTTTAATAAGCAATTTTATCATTTAAATCACTTAAATTATCCAATAAAGTACAACTGAGTGTTGAAAAGTATAAACGAGTGAAGTGAAATTTAGTTGTTCTACGCATAAAGTGGTCGCTAAGATAACTAACTTGCTAACTAACTAAAAAAATTCAATCACTCAACAGCATTCAGTGTAGGTGTTAGTAAAGTGTATCAAACAACCAGGACTTAACGGCTCATAAAACCCGCTGTCACATTTTCAACAGTTCATCAGGTAAATATTGCATATCCCTGGTGTAAAGCACACTGTCATACAAGATCAACGATTTCATTCAGTCTAAACAGTTCACTAAACAACTTCAGATACAGACATAGCCGAACAGTCAGACAATTTCACATTAAAGTAGGATTAGATAGCCTGTCAGTCATTTATTCAAGTATTTCCTTTAGACATGTCCAATTTTTAGTTTAAATATTTCATGCTTATTTTGGCGGCCATCTTAATTAACGTACTGGCCAGTTAGTCACAGTTCAAAATAATCACATATCTTTGTTTTTTGGCAATACTTACGTTTTTCTAGTCATCTTTTTGCTTTTTCTTGTGTACTTGTATGTCTATGTGTATGTATGACTGTGTGTGTATAGATAAAAACAACTAATTTCGTGACATGAAAAAAATTAGCCTCAAATTTCATATTAATTATGATTATGATGTTCAATTATCTCATATGCATATTGTACATGTGTAAATGTATGATACTAGTAAATCACAGCATGATTGACGATTGAGTGGGCGTTGTTGTATTTATTAACTCTACGTGAATCATAACTAGGTGTCACTGCTACAAATACTACCACTACCAGCTTAGTGAAAATTGTAACGATGAGTCATCCACATTCATGTTACATGAATCATCGTCAAACAAATGTAACCACCTAGGAAAAAATGTCGTGATGATCAATTAAAGAAAAACCAATACAACTGAAATCAGTATTCAGTTTCATCTTGTTGACCTATGTTACCTGAGGTGTACTGTTAACCAGGCGACATTCATGCAAGTAGCTTGAAAGCTAATACTGTTGTGATTATTGGCCCAACCGTGTATAACTAAGACAGTCTAAATATCTAAAGCATTAAAACACACTAATTGAGTCGATTAAAGTACGATACTGCAGAAGGGTGTAATTCTTTGAAGTCTGAAGTGTTTTGCCCTTGAAGTAGACATACAAGCTTGAAAATTTGTTTAATGGTTTGGGACTATTTTGTAGGCAAATAATTATCGATAAACTGCTTCAGGGGAGAGTTTTTGTCAATCACTCCTGTCTGCTTTCCTCTGTAGGCGTTTAGAACAGTACTGATACAATAAGCAGGTGAAAACTGCTTGAGATTGTGTCTTAACCCTTCTTCCTGTAATATTCATTTATCCCCCTACCTGTGCATCGGTGGCATAGCGGTTAGGACTCTCGCCGACCATCCACATTGTCCGGGGTTCGAACCCTGGCCGACGCACTCCTTTACCTCGCTAAGCCAGAAATAATGCTGGTGAAGAGGAAAGGTTGGGCATGAGGCTAGCAACTCCATCCTGTAAAATAAACACTGTTACAGAAACTTCAAGCTACTAGCTTGAAGCCCTATGTTCCACTGGGGAACGTGAAGGATAAAAAAGAATCCCTCTACCTGATTAACGTCAAAAATATTAAAAAAAACACTAGAATGTTGGCTTTTTTTATTCCTTCACGTTCCCAGTGGAACTTAGGGCTTCAAGCTAGAGGCTTGAAGTTTCTGTAGCAGTGTTTATTTTACAGGATGGGGTTGCTAGCCTCATGCCTAACCTTCCCTCTTTACCAGCATTATTTCTGGCTTAGTGAGGTAAAGGAGTGCATTGGTGGCCGGGGATCAAACCCCGGACCACCTGCCTGGTTGGCGAGCATTCTGCCTCTGTGCCACTGACGCACAATGTTTGGCTTTTTTATTTAGATTCAGTAGATAAAGTGATATTTGCGGAGTTGACTCTTTTGATGTAGCGTTTAATTTTAATCTGTTACACGTCGATGAAGGTGAATCGTTTTGTGTTCTTCGTTGTTTCTGTTTTTGTTTTTTGAAATTCTAACTATAGTTTTATCTACTATCTTAGTCAGTAAACATTAGAAATAAAAATTGTTTCTTTGGATTCAGGAATTCGGAAGCGATGAGAGGAAATTGTGATTTGTACAAGCTAATTAACATTACGATGTTGGGCTTATCTAAAGGGAGGTTTATCAAACTCTGTCGATAATAGAAAACTTTGCTTACAGATGAATATAATTAATAAAATAAACTATTTATGCTGAATAAGCATCATGTTATGCTGTCATTAATAGAAACAAATGCTGGAAGTACTTTCAACACTAGGTCGGCACTTTAGAATCTCCTATAATCAGATATCATTACCTTATTGCTTTCGTATAGCTTTTCTTAAAACTTGGTCAATCTCACGTCACAATATGTTTGGTCGCATGTGTCTAGAGATCTAATTTTGTTTTTATTTTTCATATCCATACTGAATAGTGTTCACAAATACGTTTTACAAGAAATCGATACATCCCGCTTAATAGGAGTAAATAATCTAGTGTATAAATAATAATATGACCTGATACAGACCTTTGTTTGTTTAGATTTAGCAAGAAGCACAATACACTATATACTTTTAGTCCTAGTACATACTGATGGGAGATGTTGCTTGCAGGGTGACTTTAGACTATCACTCATTGTTGCCAATGCTGAACGTTCTCAGAGATCATGACCATTATCATTTCTGAGAACTATTTGAATGAATTTCAGCTTTGAATTCTAGCAGTAAAATCCTTTTCTGTAGCTACATGCAGATGTGCATTTTTGATATGGATGC